TTTTTTCGGGGGGGGTCACCATATATTTATTCCCCATAAGTGTCATTCCATTTGACTTTTCTATTTATCATTTGCAGCTGAACATCAGAAGCCTCAAAACCAAAAGAACAAAGCATATTTTAAGTAGGCAGAGTAGACTGGGCCAGGTGTTTGCAACGTCCCCAGTTGACTGAATTTCACTTTCAACTTCTGCATGGCCCCCCTCTAGAAACAGAAATTACCTAATGGTCGAAGTACTCAATGATGCCTGAGAGAGACCTTCCACTATTCAGCCAGAAGGCCGAAAAAGTAGTTTTCTATTTTCTCATTTTAGCTGTCATTTTCCCTAAAACAATTATATCTTGAGAATTTCAGTCCAAGAGACTGGAAGTTACTGTTCTTCTGTGACAGCCTCTCTCTGTCACTGAAGATTCATTCCTGACTTTGATCTTCCTGACCTTGCTGTAAATCTTGACAGTGTTTGTCAACTACGATTTTTATTCTGTGGACCACAGAGCATTTTTAAGTCCCTCCAGTTGCCCTGGCTGACCTCACCCCATCCTCCCCCATAACCTCACTCTCAGCTATGATTATTTCTTTCAGAGTGTCTTTTTTCACACTAAGCTCTACCTTCAATTCACAAATTCACCAAATGATCTTGTCTCCTAGGAAGTCCCCACATGATCCAGTCCAAGTTCAGTCCCTGCCTGATTCATTCCATCTTTTCTCCAGGCTATAACATGAGGGCATACAAGTGTCATGGCCTGCCTATGTCCTCTTTTCCTCTCTTCTTGTGTGGTTCCCCTTTCAATAAGTAACTTCCCATTGGCCAGGACTGACTGATCTTCTCCATATGACTTGCTCCTTTAACTCCATCTTCCATAGCCTTGTTTATGAGAAAGAGGAAGTCTCCTCTGACACTCTCGTGCTCTTGTTTAGCTATGATTTCTGTTTATGCTTTATCTCTTTTACTTGAAGCTGACACAGTGATTTTCTGAATTCCCCCTTCCTTTGCACACACAAGCCCCTCCAATGCCTGTGGCCTGGGCCTGGCTCAGCACTTTCCCCACCTTCTCTTGCTAGGCTTATATTTTGCTTACAAAACTTACTACGACAGGGATTTAATTTTATTTTAATTCTGAAACAGTTTTCTTAACACACAGTTCTAGGAAAACTTTCCAAATTCACATACTAATGACTTAATATCTCAATTCCCTATTTTTAAAACTTTCTTCCTTACTACAAGCATGTTCCTTTTTTCTATACTTAGTGTGTGCACTAGCTTTATTTAATATTTCAGAGTATCTCTCCACGTAACTATTTTTCTGTCATGTGATAATCTAATTTCTTGTGATACTATTTCTTAAGTCTTTCTGCAGCTTTTTGTTCTAATATTTTAAAAATAAGTTATTTAACATACTGAAGAACTTTAATATGATCGCTTAAAGTAGCATTAAATTGTTACTAGCATGACTTTAAAATACCACCAAGTGAAATCAAAGAATGTAAATATAAGCCTTATTTGAGTTACCTAATTTGAGTTACGCCTTTCATCCCAGCACTTGGGAGGCAGAGGCAGGTGGATACCTTATTTGAGTTACGCCTTTCATCCCAGCACTTGGGAGGCAGAGGCAGGTGGATCTCTGAGTTCTAGGCCAGCCTGGTCTACAGCGAGTTTCAGGCCAGCTGGGGCTACAGGGAGGCCCTGTCTCAAAAAGACCGCCCCCCCAAAACAAAGTGGTTTTCTTTTTTGTTTAGCATTGTCCATTTTATATTTTTTTATTTTATTTGTGTATATTATGTTCCTTTTCCCTTTTTTTAAAAGCTAATTGCTTGGGTTACAGTAGTTCTTTCCTTAATGGTATTGAAACTGCTGTGATTTACTCACACTGCTACTGCCTTTGTCATTGTCTGCTTTAGTTTTATGCAGAAATCAGATTATGGGTCCTTAAGAATTACATGACCGAATGACAATTCCTTTTTCATTTTGAACATTACATAATTCCAAATTTATCTTGCATGTGAAAATGTCATGATTTTTTAACAACAAGGCCAGTGAATTTTATTATGTATCAAAGCAATGAAAATTTGAAAACTGTTCTCTATTTTAATGATTGTCAACAATTAATTTAAATGATTGCATAGAAAACTTTAATCATGCCTTTCTTCAAGTTAACTTCAATCAAAACTTCACTTCACTCGGTTTTCTGACAGTGGGAGCCACTAGGTATGTATGGGGCTAGATCCTGGGAATGCTCTTTACAGGCATCACTGAATTAAAAGTTCATGCAAATCTCTTTCATTTTAAACACCTTCAGGAATTATGAAAGTTTGTCAGTCATTTAAGATTTAGATAATAGATTAAGAATTTCGTTTTTAGCTGGGAATTTAAAAAATTCTTCTGTAACTAGTTTTTTATGTATATTTTCTCATTTTCTAGCTACAAGTAGTTGTTAGTCTTTCCAGTAGATATGAAAATGGGAACAAAGTCAGCCTTCCAACCATCTTTTCCCTGAACAAAGGCAGCAGTTATTCTACCATGTAACATTAGCACAGTGTCTGTCTAACGTACGCATTAGACAGTGCTTAGAAGTTTTCTGTTCTCCCACTGATTGTTTGCATGTGTATCTCATGTTATTTGTATATTTGCATTCACCTTGTGGTTTTGACACGTTACCATATTTGTTCCATTTTCCAGATTGTGCCTTTCTCCATTCAGTTTCTGGATGAAAAAAGAAACTCCTAAGTTTTAACTTCAATAAAACCTAAGCCTAAAAAGAGAGGAGTTCTCCCCTGGGACACTGTGTGGTTAGGGTTGTCATTCCTGCTATTTTGAAATGACTTTTTCCCTCAAGACCAAGAGTTTTCTAGCTCTTTCCTTTTAAATAAATTACTTGGGGAAAACATGATGATTTGGTTCCTAGGAACAGAAAAATGGACCCAGATCCTACAGTCTTAGAAGCTGGGAAATGGTTTTAAAGAAAGCCATCAAGTTAGACACTAGGTGTTTCTTTCCCATTGTAGATGGAGATGTAACAGTTAACTTTGAAAATTCAAACGGGCACATGATACCCATCGGAGAGGAATCTACCGGAGAGGAGAATATAGGGAAGTCTGAAGAAAGTCTATCTGTATCCGAAAAAACACCAGCTCGGGAGGAAAAGGCAGAAGAGAAGAAAGGTAAAACAAAGAGAAACCAACATTGCTTCCTTTAGTACAGCCCAACATGGAGAACCAGGTCCTGAGCTCAAACAGCGACTCTAAAACCAGGAGTCTGCAAAGAGGAGGCTTGAAAATACAAGGAAGAGAAAAGTGGAAACTAGGGAAGAGAAACAGCCCTCCTCAGGCGGACACACCCATTCATAAACATGTCATTTGCTTTTGTGTTATTAAGGAGAATCAGTTTATGGGAATGATCAGAAGTAGTGAACTCTTCAAACATTAGAGGTAGCTGGAAATAGTCTCCTTTTCTCAACAGCTTTTTCTCAAAATCTTGAAAATCCTAAGAAGTCTGAATTGTTTCCAGCTGGTTCCAGCTGGCCCCTGTGAGCAGCTGTCTAAGGGGCCACTTGTTACTGACAGTCTGGATGCACAAGCTAATTCTCACTGCCAGAGAGGCAGTGCTGGACTGAGAGATGGATTTAGTTACAATCTGTCTGTGCAACTGGAAATTTCAGAATTTGCCAGAGGCAGTTATACTGTTCCCTCAAAGCCTCCTTTAAAAACCTAGGTTTCTAGAGTGAATGTGTTTGGTGGATTCAGATACTGCAAAATGCATTTCTATCACAATCCTCCAGAACATTCACATATTCCTAGCTGCGGATGGATTACAACTCCATACTGAGCCTTGTGCTCACATAAACATTGAAGTGAAATCCTGTAAGAAGAAGTTTTGGTAAAATTTTCTAGATAATTTTACCATGAAGCATAGGAAGTATGCTTCAGGAAATAGAGTATTTCCTGTCCTATAAGATTTGCCTCTGAGTTGGATGGCAAAACTTGTCAAATCTTACTTGGGTTCTGTAGACATTTTAAGAACTCTTAGAAATTGACCCAAATCCTTCCAAAGAAAAAAGGAACAAAGGAGATTTAATTAAACTGACCTGTTAATGTAAAATCATCTTCCCTGGAAGTCTGAAACCATGTGATCATTTGCCCGTACATTAATCAGCCTTTAAAAGCTTTAGCAATCTACTGAAAATTTATTATTTTTCTGTCCTAAGATATTAAGAACAGTATTTGTGGAACTTTTCTGGGCCTCACCCAATGAAAACCCCTAGTTAAGTTTATTAACACTGATTATAAGAAATTAGCTAGTACTTAAAATATTTCTGGGACTTCTGGGACATAATGAGAAAGCAAATAAAGTTTAAGGGGATTCTGTTGCAAGTAATAATTTGCATGGGGGTAAGGGATGTTTGTTTTTATTTTCTTCAAGTCCAACTGTCCTGTCTCAAGCTGTTAAATTTCAAATCCATCTGTGCTTTGTCCTAGTCCCTGTGGGTACCATTGCCACTCAGTGACTGGCCAGACTTGAAAGGAAGTGTTTCACTTATCAGCCTAATAAAAAGTCGCTGACAGGTATATGTTAGTTAAACCAGAAGGCCTTGAAGTTCTAAAGAGATGACAGATTTTCCAGGTCGATGAAGGCTGAGAGTGGTTTTGTTTTCTTATCCCTCAAATTAGTACATTCAGTCCTTTCTGGTTAAGCAAGGTCCAGGATAACATCTTGCTTGACAGTCACTACGAGGAAATAGAGATGCCAAAAGTGCTGGTGTGTCATTAATGAGGCCACTGTACTCCCTCTTGTGTTGACAGAGCCCATGTGGTGCTACATCTTTTTTAGGGGGCAGGGGATCTTTTTGAGACAGGGTCTCCCTGTAGCCCCAGCTATCCTGGAACTCACTATGTGGACCAGGCTGGCCTTGAACTCACAGAGATATGCCTGCCTCTACCTCCCTGAGTGCTGGGATGAAAGGCGTGTGCCACCACACCCAGCTCGGTGCTGTATCATTAACAAAGAGAAGTATTACATGTGGAAACCACTTCCTGAACCTGAAAAGAATGTCACTCATGAGTAATATTACAGAAAATTAAATAGGAAAATACACTATGAACAAAGGTAACAATTTACTTCTCTAGATGTACACCTTTAAATTCTAAAAATCAGCATGATTCACTTTTACCTGTCTTCTGGTCTCACATTCCTGTGAGCTCACTCCCACACAAACCCACTCTCCTGTGAGCCTAACTCCTAATGATTAGATACAGGACTCCCTCTCCTGCATTAAGCCAGTTTACTCAACAGTATCACTTCCTCTGTTAATTGGCTATATTTGCAAGGTCACATCACATGCTTTTAGAAGATTAGATACATCACTTTCTAGGAAAGTATCTCAATACCTTAATATTTGAAACATCAATTTAGGCAAAAGCCAAGCAAAAGCAGGTGTTATCCGCCATGCTCTTCAGGCTGCGTGGGTGTTTCTGGGATCTTGAAGGCACCTGATTCCACAGCTGATGTAGGAGTCTTGGGCCAACACTAGAGGCTTCTTCCTTAAGGTCTTCTAGGCTCTTACTCTCCTCTAATTCTTTCTTAGTAACATGTGAGTAGAAAATCTGATCTGCAACCTGTTCAACTATAACATGATATTAAATATGTGAAATCTGAAAGTTGCTTAACAGTTTTTCCACTGTATTATTCTAGAAGGTTTTCAGTAAAGTAACAGTGATCAACACTGTTGATCCATACTGAAGGTCTGGCATGGGTAGGAGCCAGGAAGGAGTGCAGAGTGCAGAGCAGCTGTGGCCCCCAAGCAGATCCTCTCTAGAAAGAGAGCAGGTGGCAGACAGGCAGTGGCCATGAGATGCAAAGCTCTGAGGAGGCCTGGGTACCAAAGCCACAGGAGTGCTTAGTGGAGACTAGAATTGTTTTCTGAGCGAGACCTATGCAAACTAAGACCTGAAGAAGACAGGAGGAGATAGGTCGAAGAGAGGAAGTGGAACAGAAACGCATTCCAGGTCAGGTCAAGGACAGAGACAGTCCTGAGCTTGCTCTGAGTATTGGCTTCAGCCCTTTACATAGAGGAAAGAGCCAAGCCTGGAAGTGGAGTAGACCACTTGTTTTCCAGACTCATTGTGAGGCCTCATGTTCTTATGGAGCCGGAATGAACAGGCACCTCTTCTGTAACCTGCTCTGTAAAAGATAATGTTCCATCACACCATCATCAATTTATGCAATGCCTTTGAAGCACATATTCACAGTTAAAAAACACAACTTCATTCGTTACCACCCACATATTGGTCAGATAACAATTTTCAGATAGAAGGCAATTTTAATTTAGTCAGGAAGACCTACTATTTGGCTTTGCTTTTGTTTTGTTTTGTTTTTGTTTTGTTTTGTTTGTTTGAGACAGGATCTTCCTGTAGCCCCAGCTGGCCTGGAACTCACTATGTAGGCCAAGCTGGTTTCAGTCTCATTCAGTCTCATAGAGATCCACCTGCCTCTGCCTCCCAAGAGCTGGGATTAAAGGTGTACACCACCACGCCCCACCAGACTGTGTGTTTAACAGCAGATGATGAAATTCAATGTTTTAGCTGTGTCTTCTTGTCTCATTCTCAGTCCTCATGGGTTCTTGTGACTACCTGGCCTTCTAATTCAGACCAGGTGGGTTGGATGAACCACTACTGTTTGATGAATGATAAGACCCTGAGTTGAGAAGAGACAATGTGAACAAAAGGTAATATTACAAAGTAGCTTTTCATAAATGTTAAGTGCTTTTCATGCTGTAAGGCTGAATAAGAACAGAGGTGGAAGAGGCCAAGTTGGGCTGCAGCAACTTGTGAGGGTCATGGCTAAAGCAGGACAAAGGGGAACTTTATAAATGAAAGGTTTTATTAATTAGCTTCTGTAATTCAAATCATTATTGTGGTGGATATGTATGTGACTTGTACAGGATAAAGTTTAACAAAAGGGGCATCCTCGCTTCATACTCACTAGGAGAAGAAACAAAACAGAAGACATAATAAAAGTATATGATACTTTATTATGATTTAATGTATGTGATACATTAAAATCCTTCTTGGTTACTAAAAAGTGGAAAGATGTATCCAGTAAAGGCTGAGTCTTGTGTTGACAGTATTTTATATTTTTATTGCGCTCCCTCTTAAAAGACATACTGCTTAGCTCTTCGAACCAGAACCGCATTTTAATTTATTTCAGTTACTATTACAAGTAATACAGACAAGGATATGTAATTAGCCTTCAGTATCTCTCCTCGGGAAGGAGAAATTAATACTGCTTCTCCTCCAACTTTTGAAAATCTTCTGTTCTTATGTGTAAAAATTTTCCCTATGAATTTTACCCTTTGTCTTTTCAAAATCATTATTGTTTATATTACAAAGTTGTTTTTTTTTAATTCCGTACTTTCTATGCCTATAAGTTGTGGCACTAATTTAAAAGGGCAGAAGGGGTCTAAATATGATTAAGATGTATGAAATGCACAAAAAATCAATAAAAAATATATATTGAAAAAAGTTAAGAACATAAAAAATAGAAGGGCAGAGGAAGTTATTTTCTCAAGAGAACGAGAAGCTGCCCTGGTATGCCGAGAGAACATGAAAGTCCTCTAATGGTAGAGAGTAATTCGTTGCTGAGTGCATTGTGTCTTGGGTCAAAAGTGCCTCAGAGGAACTGGAGAAATAGTTCAGCAGTTAAGAGCACTGGCAGCTCTTGCAGAGGACCCAGGTTTGATACCCAGCACCCACATGGCAGCTAACAACTGTCCATAACTCCAGTTCCAAAGAATCTGACACCTTCTTCTGACCTCTGCACACATTGCACAACATGAATGCACTTTCATACATGCAAGCAGTATACTCATACACATAAAAATTATAATAATAAATAAATAAATATTTTAAAGTCCCCCAGAGTCTCTCAGAGAACTGAACATCCTTGATTTTTTGACCACCCTAAAACCCAACCCAAATCTACTTCTGGTTGATCAGGATAAAGTTCTCAAGGTAGCTAGGAGCACAGTCACCCCTGTGGCTGTCAGTCCTTACCCATGGCAGCATGTGTGATGTACTTATCTGTCACTTTCCCAGATCCTTCAGTCTTGCTAATTCAGTAATTTTGTTGGATTTAGCACTCATTGCCAACATCACTAACCAGCAACAATGGACTAAAGGCTGGAATTAAGGCCAGTGACTTGTAGGCATTTACACTGATCTTCAATGTAACTTTATCACAGTAACTCCTGTCACCTTTTTATCAAAGATTGGCAGACCTGGGGAGCTTTCCCCAGTTTGCATTTCAGCCTTGTTTTGCCCTGAGACTTTGCTTTCTCTGATGTGAACTCTGTCTGGTTCTTAAGTGCCATGCTGCCATGTGTGTTTATCACTGTTGCTATGTCTTGCTCCTAGTGTTTATTTGGTGTGTGTCTGTTATCAGTCTGCTCTGTTCACTTTCTCATTTGTAGAGAATACCGAAAGCTCTGAAACACCAGCTGCTCCTGCTCTACCTCCTTCAGTTCCTCCTAAACCTAAACCCAAACCTAAACCCAAAAAATCACCTGTGCCTCCCAAAGGGGCCACTGCTGGGGCCAGCCACAAAGGGGATGAAGTGACTCCCATTAGAAAAAATGCCAAGGCTCCCAGTAAGCAGGTCCCCATCCCTCCACCCAAGCCAACAAGCCGAAACACGACCCGAGAGGATGGTGAGTATGCCCAAGTGTGTGGTGGGGTTAATCCCAGATGCTGGGCTCTGGGATGGGGCCTGTAGCTTCTTCCAAGAATGATGGTCTTCTCTTGTCTCAGGATGTAACATCTGTGGGTGCAGATTTGTCACACGAATGCCCCAAAGTTTCCCTGTAGTTTTCTACCAAGGAAAGGATAACCAAGCAATCAATTCACCTAGTTATCTATGGAGTAACTATGCATCGTTCATCCTGATTTCTACAGTTGGCACAGGCAGTATGCCTGAAGAGTGACAGTGATCTGATATAGCATTAGTTAGGTATCAGCTGACCTTCTGCCCATTAGAATTCATGGGTGGCTTGTTAGTTTGAGTTTTCTTTTAAAATACCTTAGACGTGCACAATAGAATATGAGATGTGCTTTGACATATTTGCTTGATCCTAATGTGTTAAATCTTCAGCATCCGTAATCATCTGTCCTCTGATAAATGACAAGGGACCTGAGCACATGGTCCACCTATGCACTGTTTCCTACTCCAGTTAAAATTATTTAGCTGAATTGAAAGTTTCATGCTTAGTGCTCCCTGCCTACACATCTACCCCACCACCAGGAGACTTCAGTATCTGGTAAGACCAAGGGTCCTAGTGTGTTGCGATTACAAGTTACTATAGCAAATCGTTAATGGACATTTGCAACTTCACGTTTTACATATCCAGTTTTCCTTTTTCAGTCCATGTAGTTAGTGCACAGTGGAGCTTCCTTTCTTCTAGTGATATGGAATAAAGATGCCTACAAATCTCACTTTTAAAAGGTCATTAATCAAGGTTCACATGCTCAATGGCTTTTCCCCATTAACCTGTGCATAAAGTTTTCTGTGCTATAACAAGTCTGATTTTCCTTAAAATTGGCAGCAGCTTTCTAGCAGTTAACTAAAATGATTTGCCTTGGTGTTGATCCTTTTCCTCTTGTAATTCATACTCAGAGAATGGTTTAGTTGGCAATGTAACAGCTCTCTGAATGCAAGTAGACCTCTCTCCCTGGGTTTCTCTCTTCCCATCTTTGACCTTTAGTGTCTGGGTCACTTCTAATCAGCTCTAAAGTGAAATGTCTCAGAATGATGGGCCAGCAGTGTCTGGGGGTCATTTTTTTAGGGACCCAGTGTCTGTTCTTATTGGTGTCTGTGTGTTTTCCCATGGTCTTGCAAAGCCTAGCAGCAGTGCATGAAGTGAGACAGGCACTGAGCTACTAAGTAAGGAAAATCCCCAAACCATCACTCTGCTCTCAGGAATTAAGATCCTGTCTTGCCCACACTTCCTTCTCATTCCCTAGATGGCAGGGCCTTGCTGTAGACTCAGCTTGGACTCTGAGGAAAAAAAAGCTGATGATGAACACAAAGGCTAGACACAACATTCATGACAGATCTTGAGTTGTTTCCAGATCCTTTTCCTTGAAGATTTATTATAGACTCTTGATGCTCCTAAGAGGATAGTGAATTAGAGAACATTTTGAGACCCAAGGAGGCTTAGTATAAATGTAACTGTCCTGGGAATGTCACAGATAAGCACAAGTTGCATTGAAAGATACCAACAATTCCATTGTGCAGGAATCTTTTTATCAAATATTGGTAGTACTCCTTCAGACCCTGCTAATATTCCTGTGGTAACTGTATTATTTGAATAATGTTGGAAGTTAGTTCAAGTGTGGTGCTCTGTTTTCCATTAGAAGCTTTACATTCTTAAAATATCTGTCATTTAAAATTCATCCTCAAATAGTGAGCATAGACCCCACAGAACAACCTGTTAGTTTAGAACTATCTGGTGGTCTTGCCAAGAAAGAGGGAAAAAGCTCCAATATTTTTACTATTAACACAATTTTTAACTCAGATGACATTTCTTTTCTTAATCATGGTTGATTTCAGCAAAGCCTCATTTGTCATGTTAGAAGACACTTTAAAAACAGAATACGGCTTGAATTTTCACTCCAGACATTGAAAAAATAATTTTTTCTTTAAGACAGAAAAATGTTTTTCTATCGGAAATGAAAGGATTTTCAAAAATATTGAAATTGATATCACTAGAATGAAGAAGGGGTTTGCTTAACTTGCTTAAGAAAATAGTTGAACATGTTTAGGCACAAAATCCTTAGCATCTTAAAAAATTAATTTAAAATGAGGTTAGAGTGAAAAAGTATGGTTAATGAATTTGACTAATTAACAAGGAAAGGTTAGCAAGTTTGTTGACTCTCCACACTAATAACAAGTCTAGAGTTGGCAAAGGGCAGTTTGAGCTATTGTATCTAAAAATGATAATGACCCCAGCCAGGGAGACTCCTTAGAAGCCTGAATCTTGTCACTAATGAGACTGGCTTCTTCACATGTCAGAACTAATGAAATCATGTGTTTCATTATCTTTGTTTGTTCTTCATCTTGACTCTCCCCAATGACTCCAATAAAATTATGCCCAAAGGTAAGTTATAATAATCGCTGTGTGCAACGTGGAATGGGCCCTTAATGCTAACAAGATATTCTAATAGTTCTGTGAAAAATAGTTTAATCCCCTCATGAGAAAGTAAGAACATGCAACATTATCATAGAAGAGGCAATTATGAGAAAATATAGATCATAAAGGCCATGAAATAAAAGAATATTCTCATAGGAATTTAAATGTATTTCCTAGGATGAAATAAAGAAAAGGTGGCTAACTTTATTTTCTGGATATGATTTAGTTGAAGTCAGCTCTATCCAGAAGAAGGCAAAGGTACCCTGAAAGCCCTTTGAAGACCTGCCCAGACATAAGCAGTAAGAATAACTCAAGAGTCAGAGCAATTGGAGTCAGAAAATTTAGGAAAAGTTAGGTGAAGTGGCTTTGCATTCAGACCCAGCTTCTCAGGAGAGAAGAGACACTTGAACCCAACTCAAGACCAAACTGTGTAGCACAGGAAAGCACTATCTGAGATGGAAGGACACACACACACACACACACACACACACACACACACGAGACAGAAGTGCTGGGAGGGATGTTCTTCTGCTTAAACTCTTCAGATTCTGTCCATGTGTAAATACATTTTTTTTTTTGTAAAACAGCAACAACCAACATTTTTTCTTGCATTTTGATATTTTGAAGGGGGGTTTATTTCCCTCTGTGACTGTGCCCACACTGTGCCCCCTCACTATGGCAGATGACGTATAGGCCTGCAGGACACACTTTCTTCCCTGGAGCTGTGGAAACTATTGCTTTGCAGTTCCCTGCAGGACACACTTTCTTCCCTGGAGCTGTGGAAACTATTGCTTTGCAGTTCATCACTTTAAAGGCATAAATAAATTGGGATAAATAAATTTCTTTATGATCCAAGGAGAAGCTAACAGTATCTACCCTGCTTCTTCTGAGTATGGGCTACTGGTCCACCCTCAAAAAGACAAGGAGAAGGAGTGTCATTGTGAAAAGCCCAGTTACGTGATATTCCTAGCTCACCACTGGCTGTTCCTCATCACACCACCATGTCTCTTCATTATCTGTTCTTTCAGGTGACCCATAGAGCAAAGAGTTGACTTCGTGCCTGGCTGTTAGAGGCGAAAACTGTCCTTTAGTTTTACTGTGAATGTCACTTGTTCCTTTCTACATGAGAGACCAGGAGGGGACATAAAGCAAGACCATTATCATTTATTGACCAATTTTCTTACATTCATTGACCCAACAAAATTTAAAGGGAGAATTTAACATCATTGGCAATTGCAACTTGGTCACTTGAAGATCATTGTAGTCACTGATTTTTAATGCAAAAATCTCTCTATTTTAGCTGGTTCTTCTCATCTGAAAAAACCAACTGGCTCCAAAGCATCAGCCTCACCATCTGCTTGCTCCATCTCTTCTCGTCCCAAAGCTTCCAAGGAAACAGTGGCTAGCAAAACAGGGACAGTGGGGACGACAAAGGGCAAGAAAAAAACTGGCAAGCAGCCAGCGACATCCCGACTGTCCTCAGATCCCACTACTTCTGACACATCCAGTCTTAAAGGAGAACCTTCAGAGACAGGGGTGGAGAGTCTCAAACCAGAGCAGACTGTCACTGGAGCTTCGGAACAGGCCACAGGCAAACCCAAGGCCACTGTCCCTCTACCGCTTGTGGCTCCACCACCCTCCCCACCTGCCCCTCCTCTACTTCTTGAGGATCAGTGCATTATTGCCTCGGACACTCCTGTGGTCCTGGTCAGTGATGGAGCTGACCTGCCTGTCTCTGCCTTAGACCCAAGTCAGCTCCTTTGGACTGAAGAGCCAACAAACAGAACCACTCTGTACTCAGACGCTGGCTTAAGTGGTAGAGAAAATACAAAATGGTGAGTTGAAACATAGCCCCTACAAAGTTATAAAATATTATAAATATTTTAATCTATAATATTATAAGATGTTCAACTCAAAGATAAATCAGACAGGTTAGCCTTCCTGTCCCATAGGTGTGAAGAGTTGGCTATCAGAGTAGATGATACATACAACTATCAGTTCTGTCTAGCGAAAGCTTAGGGATCTTATGTCTTCTCTGCTGTTTCTAAAAATAAAGTCTTTATTCAATTTTTAAATCATTTAATAGGATCTCTTTCAAAAAAAAATAACTCAAAAAATCAGTACATTAATTAGGTTGGCTTTGATCAAGACACTCAAATACCAATTTTAATTATTTAATTGCTGGTAATAATGACCTCCATTTATCGAATACCTGTTTAATGTCAGCTACCAAGCACTACACATTCATAATCACTTAATTCACATACACCTTCTATAAAATACTCCCACTTTATATATCTAAAAGGAAAAAAGAACTGACACTGAGGGAGTTCAGTTTGTCCAGCATCATGACTGATTTAACAGAGGCAAAGCCTGGAACCAAGCCTAGCACTGTATACAGAGCCTGCCGGAACATTTCCATTTTCAAAAACAACAGCTTCCACTTCTGCTCTTTCTTCTCTAATAGTTCATTGGTTCTTTATTCTCATCATTTTGAGCAGTGTCATTTGGAGGAAAGCCAGGGGAAGAATTGCAAATTATTTGTCTGACATTTTAATGAAAGCTGTAGGGCAAAGCAAACATTGAAATAAATGGTAGCAGTATCTCTGTTGATCTGTTTGGGGCTGCTGTCACAGTCTACCTGAGGCAGGGCAACATAACTAATGGAAATGCACTGACTTGCAGTTCTAGAAGCTGATGAGTCTAGATAAAAGCTCCAGCATTTGATGAGGGAGTTCTTACTGCAACATGTGGCAGAGGTGGCAGGTCCAAGAACAAGACAGTGAGTGAGCTGTGTCCCATGAGCTCTTTCTCTATATATTATGGCTCTGCCTGCAGGAGACCACACTTTTCAGTACTACTGCATTGAAGATGAAGTTTTCAAGACTTGAATTCTGAGGGACTCATTCAGACCCTCATAGCAGTATCCTTGATACTTCCAGCACACAGAAAATGTCTTCCTTTAATTAACATAGTCTTTCTCAGTCCTACAGTTACTCCAAACCTTAAAACTGAACTTATTTTTCAACATGTATTTTTGGCTTTCTTGTTTTGTGCTGGGCAATTCAATAAGCACCAAAGAAACTAATGTGAGCTGGACAGTGTAGTTACCGGTAGTTTTTTTTATCAAAATATTGGCCAAGCATGCCCTGGAAGTATGTGTTCAAGAAAGACAGCATCTAAACTTTGGTAAATTGATTAAGTAGATAGATTTATTGTTCAATTTACTAGAGAAAAAGGTACACTATATAAACCCCTTTTGGGGGTGGGTAGTCAGGAGCATTCAGAGAGCCCATATCCAAAGGCAACCTGACTCTGCCTGGTTCATTTCCACAGATGTTTAGAGTGTACTTTATTGTTCTAAGCACCACTCTGTATGTTCAAGACAGTGTCTTTAGCCACTCCAAGTACACAAAGACTTTTCAAATAAAGAAATAAGCATCAGTTTTCCATCTCTACTGATGCTTTTATTAGAGAAAGCAAGTTTGGGACATCATTCAACCCAAGGTATTTATCATGGATTTTCCTATCAGCCAGAGTAACTCTTGTGCTTTCCTAGAAGAACTCTTATTTTCTTCTTTGTATACTCTTAAAATGTAAAATGACATTGTAACGCATTCTTTAGGGGTAGTTTATATTTGCTCTTGAGTTAATGAGTCTGGAGCAAGTTGTCTCTCAGATTTTCTTCCAAATTTTTCCTCCTTCAAGTGGATATTTGAATTCAAAATTTTGGCTCTTAGTCACTTGCTTTACTTAGAATCCTCCCTAAGTTATATTTAGTCACCTAAATGTGTGAAAATTCTGTCATATTATGAAAAGACTTCTGTTTGGAATACAAATATCAAAACTTTAAAGAGGGCAAGTGGCTATGAATAAAAATACCTCCCTCTCTTCCTATACTGCAAGCTGCTGTTTGGTAGGTTTCTGTTCAATGGCAGCTTTATCCATAACACGGATATCTGGTATAATGTGAAGCAGAAAAAAATCAGCTCATTTTGAGACCATGTTTAAAAATGATGTATTGAGTCCATTCCACCAAAATTTAAGGAATGCATTATATTGTCCAGTGTGTCCAGAAGCCACAAGACCCAAGGCAGGAGCCAACCAATAGAAATTTGTAGCACATTCCATATTAATCATAATAAATACATAATAGTACATCTTTTAATAAGAATAAAATGAAATATAACATTTAGTAAGTAAACTAACAGTCTTTAGTCTGGGTTTTGCACTGTAATGGTCAGCTTGGGTGGACAACTTATTTACGACCTTTCTGGGATCCAGTCTTTGTAAATTCCCTAACCACTTTATAGACTAAAACAGTTATAAGTTGTAAATATTGCTTAATTCTTTGCAAACTGCAAAATATTATACCAATAGCAAGATTAAAAGAATAATGTTCCAGGAGTGGTGACACATGTGTTTAATCCCAGCACTCGGGAGGCAGAGGCAGGTGGATCTCCGTGAGTTCAAGGCCAGCCTGGTCTACATAGCGAGTTCCAGGACAGCTGGGGCTACAGGGAGACCCTGTCTCAAAAAAGACCAAAATAATAATAATAATAATAATAATAATAATAATAATGTAACAAATCAGTGACTGGTGGCACAAATAACAGGGTTGAACCCTAAGGTACCTTGTTCAGCAATATCCAGAAGGCATTACTCATCAAAATATCTTTGACACATGCAGTAATCACCTATAATGGCAATCTCAAAATAAAATAGCTTCCTGCAGCAAGAAACTAATAATCTAGATCATGTAAGTTTTCCCATAAAATAAGTCTTCTGTTATTTATGATGAGACTTCATGCTGTGTTGCCTCAAAAAAGTAAACATAGATTGCCACATGAGTCTGAAATTTCCCTTCTATATATATAGCCCCAAGAATTGAAAGCGAGGAATTGAATTTGTGTACCAGCGTTCATGGTGGCATTGTTCACAGTAGACAAAAGGCAGAAATAACCCAAATGTCCATTAACTGATGATGAATAAACATGATGTGCCATACGCATACAATGCAGTATCATCTAGACTTTAAAAAGAAGGTAATCCGGCCAGGCAAGGTGGTGCACACAGATCTCTGAGTTCGAAGCCAGCCCGGCCTACATAGTGAGTTCCAGGCTAGCCAGGGTTAAATAGTAAGACCATGTCTCAAATTTTTTAAAAAGGTTTAGAGAGATGGCTCAGTGGTTAAGAGCACTGGCTGCTCTTGCAGATGACCCAGGATGACTCCCAGCACCCACATGGTGGCTAACAACCATCTGTAACTCCAGTTCCAGAGGGGATCTGATGCCCTCTTCTGACCTACATGGACATTTCATGACACAGGGGTACTTATATACATGCAGACAATACACTAATACACATAAAGTAAAAATAATACATACAATATTTTAAAAATAATGATGACAGGGATAACCTTAACAAAATTATGTTAAGTATAATAAGTTGAACCCAAAAGGTTTGTATAATGCCACTTATATGAGATATCTAAAATAGAGTCATAGACACAGAGAATGGAATGGTGGTTTCTGAGGGCTAGGGACAGGAGGTATAGGGGATTATTATTTAATGGAGACAGAGCTTCAATTTAGAGAGATGAAAAAATTCTGGAGATGGAAACTATGGAATGAGGTGAATGTACCTAATGCCACTGAATGGCACCCTGAGAAAATTTTAAAATTGGAACTGGAGAGATGGCTCAATTGGCTGCTTTGACAGAGGACCCAGGTTTGGTTTCCAGCACCTACATGGTGGCTAACAACCATTTGTAATTCCAGTTCCAGGGGACTCCGATGCCCTCTTCTGGCTTCCATGGCATTGTATACATGGGTACATTTATATACATGCAGGCTCAACATTCATACACATAAAATAAACTGTTAAAATGCTAAGTTTTTAGTTATGCATACTTTACCCAATGAAAAATGAGATTCCAAGGGCTAAAGAGATGGTTCAGTGGGCAAAATGCTTGCTGCACAAGCCTGAGGTCCTGAGCTTCAATCCATAGCTCCCATGTAAAAGCCAGGCATAGTAGTACACATCTGTAATCCCAGTGCTGGGGATAGGGAGGGCAGAGGAGATAGGCAGATGCCAGGGACTTGCTGGTCCACCAATCTAGCTGAAATGGCAAACTCCAGGTTCAGTGAAAGACAGATACTGTCTTTGTAGAAAAGGTCGAGTGATAGAGGAAGACACTCAACATCGACCTCTGGCCTCCACACATATAGTCATGGGTTGTTGTGGGTTTTGGTCTGTGACAGCAGCAGGCATGTTTTTTTTTTTTACTAAGTAGCCTTTCAGAGGTATGACATCCAAACATGGAATCTTCTATTTATATCAGAAAGTATTTGGAGACACCTTCTCCATCATAAAATAATTATTTTATAATGTTATTTTAGATGATTAAATATTTTTGATATCTAGTATTTTTTTTTACCTAGCCTTTGAAAATGGATGAGCACTGTAGAGAACCTTACCCAGTTGAGTGATAGTGTACATTATCTTTCTCCTCAAGAATTCGTTCAGCCTTCACACTTTGCATCTTGGGTTATTACCCTAGTCCTGTGAGGGCAAGTTTTATAAATGAAGAAACACAAGCACAGAGAAGAAAAAGGTCTTTGACTCACTGGCAGGGAAGGAAATAAGATAGGTTCAGATACTGATGAAAGGTGTTCTCTCCTGTGCTGCTGCCCTTCTGGGCACTGGGATGCAGGACACCAGGAATCCTACTGTCAAAGGCCTCGTGTGGGTTCAGAAGGCTGACAAGTTAGAGGTGCTAAAATCTACAGTGGGCTGGACAAAGGACTCGAGTGAATGCTTCAGAAGCGTCTGTGAAGGAGCTGAGGCTTCAGTTTAGTCATGAAGGTCAAAGAAGATGTGCAGGCAGCCCATGCCAAGGAGCTTGTTACTCACTTTTGTGTTTATGCATGTACATGTGGATGTCAGAAGTCAACTCCATCCAAATTGTTTTTCTGAGACAGGGTCTCTCACTGTCCTGACTGGTCAGTGAGCCCCAAGAATCTGCCTGTCCCCACCACCCCAGCACTGAAGTTATGAACAAATACCACCATGCATACCTTTTTTTTTTAAAAAAAAAAAAAGTGGATTCTAGGTATCAAATTCAGGTCCTCATGCTTGTACAACAAGTACTTTACCAACTGAGCTATCCGCTACCGCATCCCTAACCCACCATTCTTTCTTCCGCACCCCCATTGTTTAAGGAAAAATACACTTCCAAAATGCAGTTTTAATGTATTCATTTACTAAATGTGTTAGACACCATCTAGTAACATCTTCCCATTTTTCAAATGAAGAGTATAAAACTTTGACAAGGAACGCATAGCAGCTTGTTGTGCTGGTGGTGCTGGTTGGCTGTCCCATGTAGCATTTCTCCTTTCCCCATCATGAAGGATGTTCATGGCACTAGGATGCTTTTCGTGATATTGGTGTCCCTGAGGATTGCTCTCAGCTTCATATCAGTATGTTTGTGTGCCCTTAACAGTGTGATAACCAAAGATGAGCTGGGGAAAGCCGGACCTCAGTTGCTGACTCCCGGGCTAATGGGAGACTCTTCAGAATCCTTCAGTGCCCCAGAGGATGAAGGCCCAAGAGAGTACCAGGCCAATGACTCTGACTCTGATGGGCCCATCTTATACACCGATGATGATGAGGAAGAGGATGAGGATGAGGACGGCAGTGGAGAAAGTAAGACTGTTTTCAAGGAAGAGAGTGGGGGGTGGACAGAGGTACCCCTGCTGTGCAGAGCAAAAGCCTGGTCAGTAATCAGCCATCTGATGTTTTTCTTTCCTCAAATTGGAAACGTAGCAATCATAGCCAAGACTAGTGATGTGAGCCCAGAATCCCAGCTACTTGGGAGGCTGATGTAAGACCATGGCAGGTTCAAGACCAGCCTGAGCAACTTCATGAGACCCTGTCCCAAACTCAAAAGTGAAAAATAGGGCTTGGGGTAAGCATCAGGCCATGGGTTCAACTCCCAATTCTGCAAAAGAAAAAGAAGGATGCCTATCCCAAAGTTTAGCTTATGGTGACAAGGCCTCTCCAGAAGAGCAGGCCAGAGGGTGGGTTACACCTTCGTCAGTGAGTTAGATGTATTTGTATTGATACAAACAATCAAAGCTTTCTAAGAAAGAAGCCCTCCTTAGGAAGATCAAAGATGGGCATTTCTTCCTGGGACTGTTTTTGAGAAGAAGAGCATCAGTGCGGGATTCCATGGATTACCAGATTAGAAAATTTCACTCAAAATACTTTGTTTTCTTTTTGTTTGTGTGCATGCGTGTTTTGCTTGCATGTATGTATATGTGTGCAATGCCAACAGAGGCCATAGAGGGCATCAGATCCCCTTGAATTGGAGTTATGGACAGTTGTTAGCTACCATGTAGGTCCTGGGACCCAAACCTTGGTCCTGTGCAAGAGCAGCCAGTGCTCTTAACCACTGAGCCATCTCCAGCCCCTCACTCATTTTTATATTCTGGTTTAAAGAGAGAGGAGAGAGGATCAGTCAAGAATGGCAAACGCCATGTTGGAATCAAAATTGCTCACTCAACCACCATAAGTAAGATAAAATGCTTTCCAGGAAGCAGGGATACTAAAGTGGCAGGAAGGCCACTGCTTATGTCTAATGCAGAGAACTGGAATGTGCTGTTACTACTTTTTAAACTTCTGAGCAAGATGACTTGGGAGGAATTCACTACAGGACTGAATTTTTAGATTATTAAAAGTTGTTAGTACAACTGGGTGTGGTTGACGCATGCCTTTAATCCTAGCACCCAGGAAGCAGAGACAGGTGGATCTGAGATTGAGGCCAGCCTGGTCTACATAGTGAGTTCCAGGCCAGCTGTGACTACAAGGAAACCCTGTCTCAAAAAGACCAAATAGATAAATGAATAAATAAATAAATAAAGAGTTGTTAGTATGCTAATGATTCAGCAAAAATTTGTTAAATCCCCTTTCACTAGCATCCATCTGGTAAGAGCTTCCATGTGTTGAGAGATGAAGGATCCATGGGTAACTGAGGGTTAAAACATTTATATACACCATAGGCTCTTTGCCAACATGATGTCTGAGTGGAGGAAAGAAAATGACAAGGATTAACTGTACAGAATCAGGAGAGGGGATATGTTCTTGACTTGCAAAGAAAGCAACGCATTGTGCAATCGCTAATTTCCATGATCCACTGTATCAGCAAAATAAACTTCAACTACCTCCTTCCAAACTATGAGGTGATATTTCCAAGTTTTTTTTTTTTTTCAGAACATCAAAAAAATCCTTCAGTCTTTTCAAAACAGACTATCTCCAACTCAAAATCTGTTTTCTCTTGGACTAATTAAGATTCCCTTCTTGCATTTGAATAAAGAATTCGGCCCAAGTCCTGTTTAAAGTCCAGCCACATGTAACCTGACACCCGCTAGGTAAAAGCTGCTTTACCTGCATTTCTGCCCTTTTTCAATCCTCAGGTGCTTTGATAAGTAAGATAAGACGAAGGGATACTCTTGCTATCAAACTTGGCAACAGACCATCCAAGAAAGAATTGGAAGACAAGAACATCTTGCAGCGTACATCTGAAGAGGAAAGGCAGGAAATCCGACAACAGATTGGAACCAAGCTGGTCAGGTAATTGCTACCATGTCAGTGTGGCCAGGACTGATTCCTACTTGTCTGTTTCCCAAGTTCCCTACCTGCCTAGGGTCATGATGAATTCCCTAGGTTCAAGCACACCTGGTCCATCAGATCTTATAAACTTGGTCTGGGATGGTGAACCACTCAAAGAACTTGCCTTTTGGTCAGTTAGCCAGTAGCTTTGAGATTCCCAAAGCCTAGCCCAAGGGTCAATAAACTGTCAAAAAAAGACCAGTTATGAATATTCTGGGCTTTGCTGGCTAGATGGTCTCTGCTGAAGTTACTGAACTGTGCTGTTGTGGTGCAAAAGCGGACATAAATAACATATGAACAATGAGCAGAGAAATGTGTCAATAAAATGTATTTACTAAAAAGGGTGTCATGCAGAATTTGTTCTGTAGTTCGCAGTTTGTCCAACTTCTGGTATAATCCAAGGACTCACTGGGATTTCTGTGAAAACTGAGATTCTTCCCTGTGGCCTGTGAGACTGGAGAAGGATCAAGTCTCACTGGCCTAGCTTCGTCCTAATCAGTAATCACAGACTGCTGCCCCAACTTATCCCTTTTATCTTTGAATGAAAGACCCCTGGCTGTACTGTCCCCCTCATTTTTATTCCAGCTTAAACTCATTCCAGTGTCACTTTTCCGCTAGCTCCGCCAACTTCTGCGTACCCCTCATGATCCATAATTGAGAGAAGGGAACCTGGTAGGATGTGGAGACAGGAGTAAGTTGCTGTGCTTGCTTAGAAGTGAAGGGCTTATGTGACCACTGTCGGAGGATTGACACCAGGGCTTCCAGAGGTCATTGGCTATTGTCTGCAAGGAGAGGAACTCCTAAGGTCCTTCTTGTGGTGAACGAAACAGAGGAAGACTTCAGGGACAGCAGCTATGGCTTCTGTCTGAAAGGAAGACTCACCCTCTTAAAGAATCCCAGAGGAGGCCTGAGTGGGGTGCCCCTCGCTCTGCAGCTCCCTACTAGGACTCCAAAAGAACTCTGGGCAATTTACCAGTGGTCTCCTTCTCACTGGAGTGTGTTGACCTCAGCCCTGAAGCTGTATAATTTCCTGCTTCAGGAAAGAGCTAGCAGAAGGAGCAGCAACCACGTGTCAAATTTGTCTTCTTAACAAATAAAAACAGGAGCCTCTCTGAGGCCTGGGAAGGGGAAGAAATTTCTGAAGAACGTACAATTCCTTAGCAACAGAACCAATTAGGAGCCGTTCATGGGCTCTCCACCTGATCTCTTTCATTTATACCATCTCCTGTTTTTATACTTTTTACACAGTGTAAGAGAGTATGCAACAAAAGTTCTTTATTGCTTTATTGCCTTTGTTTATGTTTTGTTGCAAAGAATTTTAATCGTTGCATAATGTATGCAATATAAAAATAATGGCAAAATAGGGTAAATCTTTAAGAAAAAGAATATTAATATAATTTATCATAGTAAAGGATTAAAAAAAATAAAGCACTGGGCCTGCTCACTGGGCTAGCTGTGCAAGCATGCATCCTCAGCACCCACATAAAAATTCAAGACATGGTGATGTGGGCCTGCAATCTCAACGCTGGGAGATGGAGACAAGCCGATCCTTGGAGATCAGTGGACAGCCAGCCTTGCCCAACTAACCTCAAAAACAAGGACGACTCCAGAGGAATGACACCTCCAGCTTCAACATGGACACAGGTGTACCCACACATGCACAGGCACACACACACACACACACACACACACACGCACACTAACATGCACACATACCCACATACACGCACACAGTGAAACATCATTTATTCATCTCAATAAAGGTCAGAATTGCATTAAGGAAAATTGTGTGTTATCTTACTAAAATCTGAAACAAATCAAATTAAAAGTTTTCTGAATTATGCTAAATATACTAGTACATAGAGAAAGCCTAGCATTTTAAAAATAAAAATGAGCAAAGTTTTCCCATTTCTTTTATACTAAATGTCTAGTCACAATTATTTGTAGTGGAAAAGAGTTATAATGCTAAGAACAAAATACTGTTATTACACTTAATTATATACCTGAAAACTCTGAAAAAGTGAAAACTACTCTATAATTTCATCAGTTTCACAAATGTGAAGTTAATCTACAAAAATCTGCATCATACTAATATTGTCCCTTGCACAAGAGGATAGATTCCAGTGGAGAGATTGGATGGCATTCTCAGTAGTTGAAACAATCATCTTTAAGTTTCAACTGTTCTTTTAAACTGAGGCCCCAAAATTTCATTTCCAGAAAGCCATAGTGGATGGAATGGATTTAAAAAGGAGAGAGGATGCCTGGGTGTGGTGCTGCACGCCTTTAATCCCAGCACCCAGGAGGCAGAGGCAGGTGGATCTCTGTGAGTTCAAGGCCAGCCTAGTCTACATAACGAGTTCTGGGCCAGCTGGGGCTAGAGGGAGACACTGTCTCAAAAAGACCAGAAAATAAAAAAGAGAGATGATAAACATTTTTGTCAGTGAGGAACATCCATCAGACAGTTGATCAGATGCATGGACAGCATGAGCTGAAGGACAGATGTGCTGTACGGAATCAGAACGTTGATGATGTTTGAAGACTATGAAAGGAAACAAGGCAGATGTCACCTCTTCTGATATGGGCTAAAAGAAAATCATCCTCTGAGATAGGATGAAAGACCCTTGGTGGCAGGTTTGGAAGTGGTTTGAACTATTGTGAGACGCAGCTATACACCATCAGAGTGTATGAGCCAAGGTGTAGGTGAGTGGTAGAGTACTTGCTTAGAAAGTGTAAAGCCCTGGGTTTGAGCCTAAGCACTGCAACTGAATGAATGAATGAATGAATGAGTAGCTGGCATGTGGGCTTATCTAAAACTTGAAAAAGTACTTGCAGAAATATAGTATCTAAAACAAAACAGAAGATGGCCACTAATTGGCCCCACTCATAAAACAGCTATCCCAAGAGCTTGGCGATATTAAATGAGATGATACATTTAGGGCTCTTACTTCCTGGACCATAGCAAGCATTCAGTAAAATAAAATGTGTATTATCAACTTAAATTACATACATTTGTTAAAATACTAAAGTACAATTAAAAATTAAACCCAACTTTATGGAAAAGTGGGATAGATTGTTCTTGTTCTATATTTTTGAAGAACACTTTAACGATATAGTAAAGCAATGATAAAGCAGTCTATTTCTTTGGATAATAAGTCCATCTTGGATTCTATATAAGAAGGAAAGAATCCAAAATAATTTTTAAAAGAACATTTCATAAAGATATGCATTGTAAGTCTATTTATAGCAATGACAAATTAAACAAACCAAATAGACAAAACTAGGGTACTGATAAAGGAAGAGGTAAAAATTGGCAGCGTGGAATCCAGAAGCTACCACATCAATTTTCTATTCATCTCATCAAGGATTCACTGGAGATGATGCTCTGGCTTCCACAGGAAGAGCCCCTGAAGTGTGGGATTAGGGTGGGTAGAGACTGCTCTGCCCCAGTTCTAACATCCAGCTTGGATATCATCTGTATGTTCTGTAGATTAGCACTCCAATACAACCTCCCAAAGTTTGAACACCTTTGTAAATACACACATGATCTATAAAATTTTAGTAGAGTAGGGATTTATGCATATTAATATCTAAATGTTACAGAATTGTCTTTCAATAAGCATACTACATCTTATCCCTATCAAAGATGTAACCCATTTTTAGAGCTTAGGAAACAAAGTTTTTTAACATTGTACTTATTTTTTTTTATTTTATGCATACGAGTGTATTGCCTGCATGTATGTAAGTACACCATGTCATGCAGTGCCCACAGAGGTCAGAAGAGGGCATCAGATTTCCTGGAACTGGAGTTATAGACAGTTGTTAGCCACCACGTGGGTGCTGAGAACTAAACCCAGGTCCTCTGCAAGAGAAGTCAATGCTCTTATCCACTGAGCCATCTCTCCAACCCCAGAAAACAAACTTTTAAGGCAAAGAAGGTAAAATAAATCCTGACTCCAGAATTTGCTCATGTATTAGCTTAGGCAAGTTAATCTCCCATCCTCAGAGTAGGAACTAGCTGCTACCTTGTTGAACTATTGTAAGGATCCCAGGTACACTAAGCATAATACTCAGAACTTCAAAAGTATGTGTAAAAGGTAGTTGTAGTTATCCTTACAGTTATCTATAATTTTACAGTCTTTTATGTAGTCTTTAACATACCACCCTGTGTAGGTGAAGGACAGTGGACTTTTATTCTTGTCGAAGGAGAAGGTCCCATCTTAATCAACTATGGGATTCAGTTGGTAGAAAAGGAGAAGAAACATTCCAGAGGGAGGAAGTAAAGAGGACAAGCTCACTTAAGGCCTGCTAGAATTTAGTACATTGCAGTGCAGATACACAGCACATCACAGCACGTAGGTGTGGGTATAGAATCCAGCTCCTTAGATACAGGCACTCCGCACTGTCCTTTGTGGGCTCAGTCACTCAAATAAATTTCAGGGTAGGCCCTGACAAAGAATAAGCGCTAACAAAAATTTAAGGAGGCATTTTGAATTATCATTAATCTGCCATAACCATAACATTGGTAGTATGTGTTAAGTGTTACATTAAGATCAACTTTTATGTATATTTATGTTCATTTACATAAATTCACCTGCATCCTGAGGAAATTTTTCACTGTGATTAGCAACAACTTAATAGTATAAACAAGACCAAGAACAAAGTTATAAGGGCTTACTAGCACATTCCACTCCCATGAACAAATAGATAACTACTAATCCCAGATGAGCCTGGTTTATCTTAACAACAGGGAGAAGGAACTACCTATCGCTAGATAACTTTACATGTAATGCATACACTTAAAATGCCTGACAAAGTATTTCCCTTAAAACCCTGCATAGCATAGATTGAACAACTTATAAATTGGCACAAATGTTTCAGCAGCAGCTGACTTGAGACCCTAGTGAACTGTGTAATAATTAAGCTATCAGCTAAACTGCTGTAATATGCCAGATACACAGTGCTTTAAACAACGTATGCTGATTTCTTTCTCACCAGACAGTCTAGAAGCCAGACCACCCAGCATGGGTAGAAAGTTGCTCCTGGAACACCAGGTTCCTTCTGTTTCATTAATCTCCTGTACCCTTGGGTATATCATCTGCAAGATAAAACTGGCTCCTACCGCCATGTTCAAGTCTAGCCTGTGCAAGAAGGAAAGGGAAAGCGGGGGTGCACACTCATCACATTAAGGGGAAAACAGAACTTAGAATCACACTCTGCTCCTGGCCCATTACAAGAAGTCAGTCACATCCCCACACCTGACAGCTAGGGAAACCACAGTCTGTAGATACGTGCCCAAGCTGCAAGCCAGACTTCCTGTCTGAAACGGAAGAGTAGGGAATGGGAGAGCAGTCTCCAGGCAGATAGGAGTGAGACATTCATCTTAGAGGTTTAAAATGTTATTTTTATTTTTCAAAACATGAAGAAGTCTAGTTTTGCTGTTTGATTTTGCATCTTCCACCAAAGGAGTCTTGTTTGTAACCTGTAGTTTATTCATTTGTGTAACCTGTAATATATTGATTTTATCATTGTAGGAGACTCAGCCAGAGGCCAACAACTGAAGAATTAGAGCAGAGAAACATCTTAAAACGTGAGTATGTGATCCCATACAGTGATTCCTCAGGTGATTGGTAACAACGTGCCCCAGAGACAGCACACCCTTCAGAAGGGAACCATAATCCAGCAGTTGATTCACAACTGACTTAAATGGCCCATCTATGTCATAGCGACTGGTTGTTAGCTGTTTATATATCTAAAAGATAATTTCTCAGTTTTTATATTTCATTTTATGGCTTTGAGCCTAATAGCCTCTAAAGTGAAGCCATGGTCATAGGAATTGTTTCTGGGGAAAAAAAATGAAACCTATTCCATGTACTCTTTTACCCACATATTAGAGCCAATTTTCTGGTCTACTTGTAAATAGCTGCCAGAGAGAACACCAAAGAATCCACAAGGAAATAAATCAAACATTCTTATATTGTTATTAGTAATGTAGTTTGTTGCTAGGCTTAACAAATGTCTCAATTTAAAATAAAATTATTGTAAAAGAAATTTCTTAGAGCATTTCATTTTCCTTTGTTGTGATAACTCTGCTTCTATCTTATTTATAGTTTCTCAGAACTCAAAGAGTTCTCCCTTCATTCTCCTACTTTCTTTTCCCACTGTTTTCCCTCATAGTGTCTGATGGGAGTGTGTATGAAGCCTCACTAGAATCCCAGTGTGTTCTGCCACTGTCTGTCCATATAGTCACTCACTTCAGCTTAAACAGAGCCTAGCTGTAGTTTCATGTGTTAACCTAGTTCCAGCGGAGCTTTTTATTATATAAGTTTCAAAGGATGAGGATAAGTGGCATTCCAGGCAGTACTACAATAGTAGCGAGCCATTGGCCTGGGGAATTCCTTTTCCACCAAACTGGCAGAGTTCTGTTGGGCTGTTGGATGACCCCGCGCTCTAGTAGGAGTTATTTTCCTTCCTGAAGGAAAGAAAGATTTTTGTAACGTATTTATACTACTGTTGCCATAGCTAAAGCAGCCCAACAATGAAGATTCAGCAGTGCAAGGAGGACCATTCTCCTGTCTGTGGGCATTTTTTGCCCTGCTGTGTTTTTCTCTGGCTGTTTGTGAGTATAACTGAAACAGAGCCCATGAAAGTGCCTGATCATGTGTAGAAATGCCAGCTTGAAGACAAAATAATTGTCGCTACAGATTTTGGCTATTTGGGCTTTTCTGAGAGATGGTAAAAGCAACATCTGATGTCAACAAGAAAACAAAACCCAAAGGTGTCAGGGCTTTCCATGACAAGCTCCTGGGACATACTTACTGAATTAAAATTTGAGCTCAGAGGCAGACTGTAGGCGCCTAAAAATTCAGAGAATATGTCTTACCTAGAAAAGAAGGCAGAGCAAGTTCTGGGTGATTCTGTTCGATTTCTTTGAGATTAATGTGCCAAACCACACTGGAGTTTGGTTATTTGAGGAACTGTTTCATGGATCCAGAAATTTATTGCATGTTGATCCCAAGTGCTGTGTTGGCTTTTATACCTTCTGTTTTCCTGGAGGTTCGGGAAAGAGTGAAACACCAAAGTCAACTTCGGATTTGACTCCAGCCCTGTTTTACATCCTTCTAAGTTCATGTTGATTCTGGAAACAGGAGGCCCATTTCTAGTCTACAGAGGCCGATAGCTGGCATATGAGCTCCTGACACAGGCCAAGGGAAGCAGGCAGAGTCCGGGAGATTCTTTCCACTGGTCTACACTGGGGCTTCGCTTACAAACACTTCATTCGGCCCTTTTGCTTCTGCTTCTTCAACTTTTTGCTTGTGTGTTTTATCTCCAGCTTTTGTTCAAAAGCAACAGTGGTGTCTTAACTGAAGAAGCAAAAATCATTTTTATTAGTTCTTTGAGAATGTCATACAATGTATTTTGATCATATTCACCCCTCTCAGATCTACCCCCTTCTCTACCCACCCAACTTTTTGACCCCTTTCTCTTTTTTTAAGATCACATAGGTCATTTTTTGAGGACTAGGAAATTGATTCACAGCATAAAGTATTCAAGTCTTCTACTCAGAACCACCACTACTTGACTAGCCACAAGTGAGAAGGCAGTAAATGCTGTTAACTATTCTGTAGAAACTCAGGATGAATTTCATTTCCTAGCATCATGTCCCGTATATTCCTTACTTGATTTCTTTCCTATTTTAGGGAGAGTGGAGTTTTTAATAGCTATATTTATATTATCACATTTGATTATTCATTTTAGAACCAGTTTCTTAAAACTGAGAACATTGAAAGTAGATTCTGCTACCTGAAAGGTCAAGTCTAGCTCATCAGGAAAAGTGATATGCATGGAACCCTTCTGCAGGACAGGTACTGAGAAGAGACATACGTGCTACATATCCAGCCATGGATGACATTCCAGCTAGACTTTCAATAGAGAAAAAACACACCAGGCCACTGTGTTCCAAATGGCTTCTACCTCAATTTTATTAAGAAACTTTCTTGAACCTACAAAAAAAAATTGAAGGAATTTTATAATAAACAAGCACATGTCCACCATCTGAAGCCTATTGTTGACATCTTTACCATATACCTATCCATTCACTGATTCTGTTTTTAATATATATTTAATATATAATTAGTTTTAAGAATATGTATTTAATACATATTTTGAAGTTTATATTTTCATTTGTTGAAAATATGCGTGAGGCCTACATAAGGCCACAGAGATGGCTCAGTGGGTAAAGGTGCTTGCTGCCAATCCTGACCTGAGTACAATCCTTGGAACCCACAAGATAGGAGAGAACTGACTCCCACAGGTTGTTCTCTGACATCACAAGTGTGCCATGGCACGTGTGTACCCCACATACACACAAAATCTATTCACCAGCCAATAAGTCAATAAATGTAATTTTAAAAAATCAACACACAAAAGACATCCAAATGGAAGCATGTAAAAACATCAAAAAAGATAAGCAAAACCACAGAGAGTGTGTGAGGGAGAGCTCAGTCCACTCTATCCAAATTGATGACAAGAATATCTCGCTAGGCCAGCTGGTTTTGCTCTTTATTCCCTCTCCTTTTAGCTCCTCCACAAAATACTCGAGGCCACACTGACTAGCCAGGCAGCTTTCTGTGTAGTGCCCACTGCTGTTAAAACACACACACATTGTTGGTGTTTATGAAAACACTTCCTGTGGCTGTTTTGAAGCAGCTCCCTCTTCTCAGATGCAAAACGATGACACAGAGCTTTGTCAGTGAGCCTTGGGGCTTCCTTCATGGACACGTTTCAGTCTGTTCCAGTGCCCAGAAAGTGTTACATCATGCTGTACAGTTAGTCCACTAGTGAATTGAAAAGTGAAAGAAGCGTGCCAAGATTAAACAAAACACCTCAGTGAAGGTTTAAGCACCAATTTCAAGGTTTAACTTTGACTCAGTGTAGGAGACTGTTGAACAACTCTATAAAGATGCAGAGGTGCAGCCATGAAGGCTTCCTTCCACTTCTTACCCTCTTCCCCTGACTTCTTTAGAAGTATGATTTCAAACATGGAAAATATAAAAAGTCAGTTTCTGAAATCAGGAAAGAATTCCCAGATGGTAAAATGCTGTTTACTGAAGTTCTCTAACTGCAGTTGACTCTTTTTCAAACTTCACTGTCGAGGCTGGAGAGATGGCTCAGTGGTTAAGAACACTGGTTGTTCTTGCAGAAGACCCGGTTTGAATCCCAGCACCCACATGGCAGCTAACAACTGTCCGTAACTCCAGTTCCAGGGGATCCTATGGCCTCTTCTGTCCTCTGTGGGCATTGCACGACATGGGTGCACTTACCTATATGCAGGCAATATACTCATACATATAAAAAAAAATTTTAAAAACCTTCACTATCACCTTGTACAATATACTTAAAAGGACAAAACTAATATTTCCCTTGAATAAATGATATCTTACATAATTAATGAAAATTCCAGCATGTGTAAGGTTTGGGGCTGTGTGTGTGTGTGTGTGTGTGTGTGTGTGTGTCTTTGAAAACTGTCTTTAAGAAATGAAGCATGGTGACCATACAGTAAGAACTGACTAAAATGTCCAGTGATTATATTTTTCTTTTGAGTAACTCTCACCTTTGAGTTTTCATTATAATCACATTAAACACAACTTTGGTGTTTATCTAATATGTATAATTGACAATCTACAAGCTTCATTCAGTTCACATTAAGTAATCAAACGTTTGCGTGTTGTTTTAAGGATATAGAAAGATGTATTCTGTGAAGCAATTAGAGAAACATCAGTTCATCCATAATAGAAAATCTGAGTTATAAGTAAACTTGTTTGACAAGGGAACTTGATCACTTTCTTGTCCTAAGGGTGACTTCAGTTTGTGACATTTTGTTGGAAGAGCTACACAGTCATTTTCTTCCTTATAAATTAAAGGGAGTATTTCAGTAATGCAGAAACTCATTCTTGTCCAGAGAAAAAAATTTACAGCGATTTTAGCTTTAGCAGTGAACAAATCAATGCAGGTCCTGCACATACTCAGTACTAGTATTTTACTCATGAGACCAGTGGTCTTAGTGGTGAGAAGTCCGTTTGAAGTCTTACAATAAATATATTTGGGGGCTGGTGAGATGACTCAGCCCAGCTGATAAAGTGCTTTCACGCAAGCATGAGAACCTAAGTTCCATCTCCAGCATCCATGTAAAAAGCTGAGCCCAGGTCTCACTTCAGATGGATCCTTGGAGCTTTCTGATCAATCTAGCTTAGGCTGTAAGCCCCAGGTCCCAGTGGGAGACCCTATCTCAAAAAACAAGGTGAAAGGTATCCGAGGATGTCTCCTCTGACCTCCATGTGCATTCATACCCACAAACACACAGATAAAAAAAATAATCTTTTCATAGAAGAGACTTTCTAATGAAGCTTTCTAACTGATCCCATCTACAGTACAGTCTTTCCTCAGTAGAGTTTGTAACAGCAATTTCTAAATGATAATATTTTAGAATGTAAATATTGCTATCTATGAAGTACCATCCATGCCTTACTTAACACAGATGAGCTACAAGAAGCAGCAACAGACAGAAGTTTCTCAAATATGCAACCAATTAAACCTGAAGGGGTGTTTGTTTCTTTAAGAATTCTAAACTTTTTCCCCCCAGTCCCATCTGTTGGAGTGCATTAAATTGCACTACTTGATGAAGCACTAGAGAAAAAGACTTTGGAAAGTTAAAGTCACAAGAAAATAAATAATTTCCACCCACAGTACAACATAACCCATTTGGAACATTCTGGTTTGAAAGCCAGCTTCAAAGGAATGCTTACATTCTGCTTCTATGGAAACGAAGGAAGACAATTCAAATATTTTGGTTGGGTTTGAATGGAAATCAGCAACTCAGACATGCATCGGATGGTTCTAATTTGCTCTTTTAATGTGTCTTGGATTTCTCACATGAAAGCCAAATTCAGAAGTAAATTTTATCTGAATTCTGGTAAATTGTGTTTATAAACCCATGAGATGGTGAGCAATCAAAGGTTCTCACCAGAGTATGGACTTAAGGCAAGAAGTCCAGAGGTAAAGAAAGTCAACCAGGTTTACAAAGGGACACGACACATATGCACATCCATAAACATGCTTGCATATACACATTGCATGTATGCACATATATATGTGTAAGATCACTGCAAAATCTTTTGATACATTTTTTTTCTGTCTTTCTGAGACAAGGTCCCCTTGTAGCCCCAGCTGGCCTGAAACTCGCTTTGTAGACCAGGCTGGTCTCTATCTCAAAAAGATCCACCTGCCTCTGCCTCCTGAGTGCTGGGACCAAAAAAGGCGTGTGCCACCACACCTAACTTTTTATCCATTTTTAAAGATAGTATTGGCATGTTCGATCAGTATCTGCTGGAGTCAAATACTTTTTGACTTTTCCAATTGTGAAATTATCTCTAGTAACTGTCATTATGCCTTCCCCCTTAATAAACAGAAAAGAATGAAGAAGAAGAGCAAGAAGCAAAAATGGAACTTAAACGGAGGCTCAGCCGGAAGGTAACGACATTGTGACTGTTAATGAGCGTGTGTGTTCTGAGAACTACTGTTTATTTTTGTTAAATACAAATCCACTCTTTACAGATGAGTGTGGAGTTTAGGAATGATTATTCCTATTAGTCTGCTACATAACCATAGACATTAAAATCAACAATGTATACAAAATCAGTTATTTTTATATCTACGTGCTATGTTAACTTTGAAAAAATTAACAGTTAAAAGTTTGTAAATTTTAGTAACTGATTATAAAAATATGTATTTTAAGTGAAAATATTTTTAAATACAAAAAGGATCAGAAAAAGAAAATGTCACACACAAATCTTCCACTTAGAGAGCCAGTATTAACATTACAATGTATATATGTTTAGGTTTTTAATTAGCTTTTAAAATGCTCACACTTTCCATTTAGCCTATACTAAATAAATGTGTTGTGACTACTAAAAATTCAGTGTTAGTTCTGTATCAAACCTGGGTGATTCATTAAGTGAGCCTGACCACATTGCTACCTAAATTGACAAATGGTTTACCACCAGAACTCAGGTAATTGTTTCCACTTATTTATGAAAATACACAACTGATCTCAAGGCCATAACTTTTTTCTGTGCTAAAAATAATAGCCTTTGGAAAAATTAAGCCCCATTGGAGTTTATATTTCATTATAAATGCTTTTAATGAATTCTCAGATAGACCTTTCATACTGGAAAAGGGCAGGGTGACTAAAATATGACACTGTAGTCAAGTGTGTGGCCTGACCCACATTTTTGAGGGCTGGCTAGGGAGTTCGCAGCAAAAGCATCCTGAGGCCAGTACAGAAGACACTCCATTTCCCATGGAAAAGTTATAGGACTAGATTTGTGAAGTGGTTCTCCCCTGACCCCCTGCCCTACCCCTCTTTTTTCTCTCTCCCTTTTTTTTCCAGAGGAAGAAATCCATTCATTTTTTTTCCAGAGTTCCCAAATGTCAAATAGTGCTTAAGCTGAAAAACTCCATGAACTGAATTTTTGTGATAACTCTTAGCATTCAGGAGCCCTTAGGTGAGCAGCTGCACACAGGCAGCGGTCTCCCGCGGCTCAGTCTTGAATCACAGAGCCTTCTCTCGATCCAGCTCAGCTGTCTGTAGGCCTGCCTTCCCCTCTGCCCCATCATACATATCGCTCCCTGCCATGGCAGGTCAGCCTACAGCACCGTAGCTGCTCCCATAGTGAGCACAGACCTGAGGGAGACTGAATGGAGCATTTCTGACTTGTGTGGCCACTGGGCTTGCTTTCTAGCTAGTTCTCAGGCACGGGGACTTCTCTACATCCTTATTTCTACCTGTCCCAAAAAGGGAGCTAGAGCCAGCAATACAGGCTGCGTGGCATCTAAGAATACAATAATCCACTTAGATTACCTCTGTCCATTGTCCACGAGGGCTCTGTGGAAGGAAAGGGAACCTTTGCTGCTATATCCAAGCTCAGCAGGGCTCCAGATGTGGGTCCAGGCCTTCCTGAGAGACCTGAGTGCTTTGACTATTAGAGAATTGACATAGCTCAGCTCAGGTTTTACTTAAGGAGACTGAGACCCAGGAAGGAGCTGCTTTTGACTACAGAGCGCATGCACAGTGCACCATCCTTATACACATGCAAAGAAAGCATAGCTCCAAAGGGGATGCAGAAAGCATGTGTTACAAATGACACTGAAAATGGCACTATAGGTTCACCTCTCTGGCAATACCAAGATACCTGCCAAATGGGAAAGACCTAGAAAGGACTTTAGAAGAGATAGCAAAGAGTAGGTGATGGCTGTCAACCTGGGGCCTGAATTTCTTAACCATCGGTATTATTCCAGACTTATTCTTGAGCCTGAGAAAAGATCTCAAGACCAGACTAGATTCAGTATGATTACAAATTTGAATGGATCAGAGTCCACGAGAAAGAACCTCTGTGTGCAGATGTGTCAGAAAGGGTTCAGGAAGCACAGTTCTTCTCTTTACCCTGCCTGACAGTGTTTCTGGCAGGACCCTGCACCATAGATGTACCTCCACTGGACCCCTTCTGTATAGCAACACTGTGCACTTCTAAATATATTAGGAAGAGAGATTCTTGTTCTCGTTTCTAGAAGTTTTACAGCTTTCAGTCTAAGTCTCTCATCACCACCCCAGCAGTCCTGGTGCTGGGTTTACTGTTGGGTGTATGTCACTGCATGTTCCTATGTCGGAGACGACAGACAAGCTTTATCTCAATGTCAGGCCAGTTGGGGAAAATAGCATACTACAGATGGTTGCCAAAGACTGACCTATCTAACAATGATGATTTTTATAGTCTGGAAAATGAGGGCATGCTGCTTTCTAGGTCTCATTACAAATTCCCAAGATGCTGCTTTTTTTTTTCAATACCTGAAAGTGACCTTATTTAAGCATAGCTTTGAAGTGTTCTCCATAGAAAACTTGCCACCTAGAGGCTATAAATGGGTTATTGATCTATGTCTTTCCTTTCTACCCTCCTGCAGCTCAGTCTAAGACCTACAGTGGCAGAGCTACAAGCTCGAAGGATCCTGAGGTTTAACGAATATGTAGAAGTCACCGATTCTCCTGACTATGACCGCCGAGCAGACAAGCCCTGGGCCAGGTTAACACCTGCAGACAAGGCAAGAACCCCAGTGGTCTTAGCACTGACTGTGCTGTGCTTCCAAAAGCTACATACTCACCCTCTACTGTGCAGTCCTAACACTTTTCTGCTTCTGAGTATTTAAACCATTTAAATGGTCTTATTTAGTAATATCAATGTACTCCTTACAACTAAATCTATGAGAAAACTAGTTCTAGTGAGCTGTCTTCATTCAAATTTAGATGAGGAGAGTTTTGTGTGAGTTAATCTTGATTAACTATCTTGATTGTGGTCCAGAGAGCAACTGGGCCACATGATCTCTGGTTCAGCATCCCAGCTCTCCCATTGCAACATGAAAGCAGCCATAGGCAATATGTCTGAACAGTGTTTTTCCAGTAAAACTTTTTTGCCAAAACAAGTGGCAGGCCAGATTTAGTCTGTGTCCTATGGCTTGCCAACCTTGAGTTTATATGCTTGCTCACAGTTCAGACACAATGAAACATACAGACTCTATCAAGTACAAAGACTGTATCTTAAATACTGTGGTTCCATAATCAAAGGCTCATCCTAATCATTTATTTTTAAATTTTTCACCTCAGGAATTTCCCAATTCCTAGTTCTGAATTCTTGTCTCTCAGCAAAATCTGGTATTGAATAAACTCATGCCTTACCTGGAACTACATATTTGATAATACTGTGTAGTGACACTTTTAAAATAAAAATTTTGTTTTGTAAAGCATATGCTGTATGAAGCACACACTGGATATATTTATCCAGAAATCATTAGCTAATAAATAGAAATGAAAAATGGGAAATAATACAGAAATAGAAGGGAAGGAGGCTGGACTGGGTGCACAGCACAATAATAGAACACAGCCAGCTTGGAGGAGACCCTGAGTTCATGCCCCAGCAGTACCAGAAAGAAGAGGAGGAAGAAGGGGAGGAGAGGAACCTTTAGAAATAAGTAGTAGAACATTGGCGAGATATGTCTGCGTGTGTGCAAAGGGATGATAAGACACAGTGGCCTAGGAGAAGCATGTCAGAAGGATGACCCTGAGCAGTCAACCTGGTGAGAGAAGCATTTTAGACTGACTTGTGGGTGCCCCGTGGTAGTAGAAGGCATCAGGATCAAACACAGTCCCGGGAATCTTGACTTTAAAGTGAAGAGGTGTTGTGAGCCAGTGTATAAGCCTGGGTGAGTACATTTGGAAAGGAAAAGAGATGTTAAAACGTGGGCCTTTTTAAACAGGGAGTTTTTTTGTTTTGTTTTTTAGCAATTTTTAATGCTATAAGGAAGGAGCCAAAACAAATCTACAGAAGGAAGAGTCAAAACAGGACACAGTGGTTACAGCAAGAGGCCACCATTTAGAGAAAATGCTAGAAGACCCCTGAGAACAGGACAGTGAATGTGGGCTAGGGAACGGACTAAGGAGGAGACTGCGGAAACAGTACCTCCTTGCCCAGCGTATGTTCGTAGGCCTATTGGACATTTAGACTCCACTTCTCCAAAGTGCTTGTCTTTTACCTATTTTCCTTTGGTTTGTCAATTTCCTATTGACTGATAGGGGTTCTTCATTGATTCCAGTTATAAATGTATAGGTAACTACATGCCTTCTTCCATTTGAGGATATTTCATCTCTGTCTGTGGTACTTTTTGATGAAAAAAGAAGATGCTTTAATACAGTTGAATTTAATCCACCTTTTTCTTTATGGGTTATGTTTTTTGTTTTTTGGGTTTTTTTGTTTGTTTTCCTGGGCGAATGAGACAACTCAGCAGGTAAAAGTATTTGCTCTGCAGGTCTCATGACCTGAGTTCAGTCCCCAGGATACACGTGGTAAAAGGAGAAAAACGACTCCCGAAAGTTTCCTCTGACTTCCATATGAATGCCATGCCGTTACCTTCTTGAGCCTGCACTCATACACACAATAAATAAAATGTTTTTAAAATTCTACCATACCGAAATCATATATTCTCTAAAATTTTTATTGTTGTGCTTGTCACATTTAACTATTTACTCAGTTAATTTTTTAGAAGTTAAAGCTCTGTCAAACTTCTCTATTATATTTCCTTTCTGTCATTACAATCTTCCTTTAAGTCTTCATTTAACTGTAGTCAAATGTGGTCTAAAAATATGAAATGGAAAATTCTACAAAAAACAATTCATATGCTTTAAATTATGTGCTGTTCTGAGGAGTATGATGAAATCTCAAGCTATCCAGCAGGTACCACTATATCCCTTTGGGATGTAAATCACCCCTTTGCCCAGCATATCCATGCTGTATGCACAGCCCACCCATTAGTCATTTAGTACCATCTTGTTTGTCAGATCCGTTGTCAGGGCATCTCAGTGCTTGTGTTCAAGTAACCCTTATTTTATTTAAAAGAAGCTCCAATAATTCTATTTTATTATGAGTTGTTATCAATGTACTGTGCCTGAGTATAAAATTAAACTTTACCCTAGATGTATAAGTATAGGGGAAAAAACAGACAATATTTAGTTGTTAAAATCTGTGGTTTCAGATAATCCCAGGGGTCTGGAACAGAGCCCTGCAGCTAGAGGCACTACAGTGCATGCCCTTGGCTGTTCATTTCTCCTTTAAGATATACTCTCTAAATCACTAGTTTTTATCCTCCCTTACATGTTGACATAAGCACAGAAGGCTGTAAATTGTCGTGTGTACCAGTGGTTTGCAGCCTGCGGTTAGACGTCAGCAGCCACCTGGGCAGCTTTGGAAATGTGGGTGTCTGAGTCTCATCTGAGAAGAAGCTGGTTTATTTGCTCTGGGCTGTAACCTTGAGCACTGAGATTTATAAAGTAAGGGGTCAATAGTTATAAATGTCTTACATATCATTGAAAGCAATATGTGTTCTACAGGTTGGGGATCTAGTTTTCTAGATATGTCCATAAGAGCAAGCTTGCCAGTTGTATTGAGATTTCTGTAGCCTTTTTTCCTTCTTGATATCAGTGTGGTTAACAAGTTGTTAAACCTACCACCATGTGGATTTTTTCCCCTTTCTTATATTAATTTTGCTTCATGTATGAGGTATGTCTTTAGATGTACAGAATTAACTACATTTTCCTTATGAAAACTTTATGGGACTCTATACCTCAAAATGCCTTTTCTTATAACACTTATTTAATAGTATTCATTTAATATTTAATATAATTTTGAGGTGGATTAGCAAAATGAGTCCCTTCAGACTCCCTTAGTACTATGAACTCAAACTGCAAACTACTGTGATGGGCAGCTTATGGGTCTGTATTTTCAGCCTCGGTTAGTACCCACCTAACCCCTTCTCCAGCATGCCTTTGCTGTCCTCTAAGGGTCAGATATTCTAGCTTGGAGTTACTCTGGGATATACTGTTTGGTTTCTGCTTTATGGAGGGAAGATTACTTGACTGGTCTCATCTTTCATACCCTACCTGAGTTTGAAAATGACCTGACCACTCAGATTCACCAAATTTAATACAAGTGCCCTCAAAGTCAAAGACATTTTCATTTGCTTCCCTTTTGTGGGCTTCCTCTTCATTTGCTTTTTTAAAAAAATCAATGGATTTTATGAAAGAGAGTTTTTCTCTTTTACCAATTGTTCAAATGTAAGACAATTTTAATGATATGTTTATCATTTTAATTGTTTTTTTTTTTCCAACAAAAGGGTTGGTCAAGGCATCTGGTGTACCATTCTTCAAGAACTGGTAGACACCCTTTGTGTAAGTTTTCTTCCACCCCACTCTTCCTTCAGTTGTGAGCTTTTGGGTGCTCTCCCCACAATGGGTGGCCCCTAGTTGACACTGCTGTGGCCACTGCCTCCATGCAGTGAACCACCCTAGTGTAAGCAACAACGGTGACTGTTTCATTATATCAAGCATCATTTGGGCAATTCTGCTTTGCATGAGGTTGACTGAGGGAACTCAGTGCTATTCATCTGATGAATAGGCTACTCTGAGAGACTCAGGATGGCCTGTCTAACATGCCTGATGTCTTGATTGGAATGGCTCAGAGGTGGAGTGCTACCAGGGCTGCCCACCAAACTTCCTACAGGTGACCTTTACAGCATGATGGCCCCAGAGTCATCAAACCTCTTGTGCAAGCTGGCTTCCCCCAGAGCATGGGTCCCCAAAGAATCTCCTTGACCTTTCCTGATCAGTTTTGGTAGTCACCCAGCTGCATGGACAAGTTGTAAAACCAGCTCAGATTCAAGGGAAATGGATTAACTCCACCTCTTGACAAGAGAACAAGGTCATATTATATAGGCTGAGGATGATATTTTAGCCATCTTGGAAAAGTATGATCTGAAACATCAATTACCAACCACCTTATTATTCAAATGCTAACCTTTAAAAAGGCACGTAGGGCCAGATAATTGAGTAAGATCCACAGCAGGTATAAAGTGCAAGCATGACACTCTAAATGATTAACCTCCCTCATATGTAAACTAAATTTTCCATTCCCTGTAACAGTCTTTCCTTAACTTTGTCCTGTTGGTAGAAGAAGGAAAGCTTATCCATCTCTAGCTATAGCAGACAGGAGTTTTTTTGAAATAATGTTTTGAACTGAGACAAAGATAGACCTTTGTCCTGGACGTATTGGCCACAGGGGAGACGAGTCTGGTCAGGGTTTTCTTCTGCAAGCTTAGTGTCAGTTCTAGAGTATGTTGAAGGCACAGGATTCTCAAATCTCCCCTGCAGATGGCACCCTGAACCCCAGAGCAGAGCCAGAGCCCCTCCAGGTTTCCAGAGGAGGCTTACTTCTTCCCTCTGGTATCGCTCACATTTCTCCTGAAATGTTTTATGGTCTAAAGGACATCATTTGTAGGGCTATATTTTTATTGTATCTGTGTTCTCTAGAATAAAAGTGTTTTCAAAAAGTAGAAATTTCTTTTAGATAAAATTATGCACTTTTAAAGATAGAAAATTGAAAATACAAAACTTTTAAATGTTGTTTATGTGTAGTACATTCTGTCCATGCAAGTGATGTGTGTTCATTGACAAATAACAGAATACCCAGGAGCACAGAAAGAAAGACCAGCACCTGTAA